CCCTCATTCTCTCCTCCGGCGATCACTGTCTCTCTGTCCCCTCGTGGCCGGAGCTTCCTTCTCAGGTATTTTATCTGCTCTTGAAATCTCTATCTATCTATTATCATGAATCGAAGCCACAAACGACCTAGGTCAAATCGTAGCAAGGCTTCATCCTCTCAAAACCCTGCTCCAAACCCTAATGTCCCAAATCCTACAACTGAAAATGTTGTGATCTATGAAAATCAATTACTCTCTCCTTCTCTTCTTGGTAAATATCGTGACCTCTGCCGTTTAAAAATGTTTCCCGGAAGATTTGTTAATTTTGATGTGTAAACATCTAAAAGTCAATACTGTTCTTAAGGATGTTGGCTTATATCACTTATTTGACTCCAAAAATGCTCTACCATATTATCCATATCTCGTACAGCTCTTTTATGCAAATCTACAAGTCATCTCTTCCGACCCTCGCACTCCTATTATCACATCTGTCGTTAAGGGTCGTAACCTATCCTTTACCGCAAACGAGCTTGCAGAGATTCTTGGGATTCCTAGGGGGACACTCATCTTTCTGAAATCGAGTTTGCCGACCCAGCTATTGTTCCACTAGTTCTCCTTCATGGTCGTCATCCTCCTCTTGACCCCCACAACACCACCTTCCTCGCAAAGGTTATTGGGAGAATCCTTAGCTATAACTTGATCCCCAAGACTGGGGGTTATGATCATTACTCCCAAGATCTAGCTTGTGTCATCTATGGGATTATAGGTTCTAAAAATCTCTTATGGGGGAAAATCATCTTTGACTTCATGGCCTCCTCTCATACAAAATTCCTACCCTTCGGAGCCATCCTCTCTACTATATTCAAGCATTTCGATGTCGATGTTTCAAATGAGCCTTCTATTAGGATTCGTCCTTTCATTGACTCAGCTGCTCTTAACCGTATGGGTATCCCTCCAACCCAATACGCTCTCGATAAAATTCCATCTCCAGAACCACCAACTCCATCTTCAGAGCCTGTAGATTCTGCTGATTCCTCCTCATCTGATACATCCTACAGGCCTCCTCGCCTCTCTCCATCTACTTCATCTCATCCCTCTGAGTCCTTGATTCTTGAGCGACTAGGTGGCATCGAGCGCAGACAGGAGGAGCTGGCAGGAAGTGTTCATGGCTTGGGGTGCCAAGTTGAGAGCTTGGGGCACCAACTCACAGAGATTCTCACCATCTTGAAGCCATCTCAGGGATCGGGACCCTCATCTACTTGATGTAGATTTTATTTGTTTTATCACCTGTTATGTATTTTGGATTATGATTGTGGAAAACTATGTTATGTAGCACTTTGTTTATATGATGGTTTATGTGTTTTGGTATCTTATGTGATGGTTTATATGTTTGACATCTTTGTGTGTTTGATGCCTATGCATACATGCATGGATATGCTGAATATGCTTGTTCTCCATATACTATTATTTCACAAATATTTTTTGCATCTTCTAACCACTCTTACAGGCATTTAAATAGGGGGAGAATCCCTATTTGTCTTCTCACCCATGCTCATTCTTAGGGGGAGCCTCTTTAGCTACAACCTTTCCCTCTTTTTGATGTTGCCAAAGGGGGAGAAAGTATAAGTATGACTTGGTTGGTTTGTGAGTATAATTGCAACTTTTTGTGTATTTAATATCAGTGGAATTATTGAACCGTTATTCACACTAGTAAATTGTTTATCATCATCAAAAAGGGGGAGATTGTTGAGTCCTCTTGTTTTGATGATGCTTTAACAAACAATTTACCACTGATCTTGCTTTCAGTATCTTGTTTAGTGTTGTGTTAGCATATACAGGTATATACAAGAATTTGACCTACAACTCATTTATTGAAGCTATGCACATCTCTAGTCAATTCAAGCACAGGCTTCAGAAGAATTCTTCTTGGTATACTTAGTATAGGTTTATATATTGTGTGACATTCTATGAGCTCAAATACACACACATACATCATTTATGAATTTTTCATTAAAACAAAGGTTTTTATGCAAAATACATTCAAATATGTTTTGGGTCATATAAACTATGTTAATATCCTTTACTATGCCCATATAAAGTATATACAAGTTTTCATTTGTTGATTTGAACCAAAATGACAAAAACAACATGTCATGTATTTTAGCCTTTTTGCATATTCAAATGTTTTTACAAATGGGAAGAGCTATTTGAAAAATTCCTTTTCCAACATGTTCATATTCATGTTCATAAACTTTCCCCAAAGTTTTATATTTTTTAGAAATTATTTGTTATTTTTAATAGAGCTTCAAAAATCATCTTCAGAACTGATTCTGGCAGATTTCTTGTGATCAGTCGACTGATGTGTCGACTGAAAAATATGGCTGGAATCTTCATTTAGCCTCAACTCCATTTTAGTCGACTGATGTGTCGACTGACCATGTCAGTCGACTGATAAGTTTTCATCAGTCGATTGAAAAGCTGGCATTTGAATTTAACGACCAGCTCATCAGTCGACTGGCACCACCCGTCAGTCGACTGATAAGCTCTCCAACGGCTAGTTCTGAGAAAAATCTGGTTCTTGATTTTTGGGATATTTTGCTAGTCTTCATTGGGTTTTGTGCACTGTTTTCTCTTCCTATATAAACCCCATAATGTCTTCTTCAGCAAATAGAGTTTTTCGTGTGTTTTTAACAAAAGTTTAAAAGATTATCAAAGTTTGTTTAAGAGTTTTAGTTTGGTTTAACAAGAGGTGGCTTGCTCTTCAAATTGAGGAATTCATCCTCAATCTTCTTCAATCTCTCGTGTTTTATAGAGAAGTTCTCTAACTCTATTCTCTAGCAATTTGTCCTTGATTATTTATACATTATTATTGCTAGTTTGTTGATTGAGTTAGATTTCATTTATTCTCTTTTATCACACTTATCCACATTTGAGCTTATAGTGTTTCATACAATATATTGTTGGATAGTAGTGTGTGATTTAGTGATATTAGGATTCATTGAGTTCTCATCTATTGTAGAGAACAAATTTATATTTGTTATATTGTGAGTGTTGTAAAGTTTTCGGTGAACTAGAAAACCGATTGTGAGGAGTGACGTTGATCGGTGAGCGTTGAAAACCGACACTGTGAGGTGTAAACGTTATTCGGATGAGAGTAGAAAACCCGGTTGTGATAGTGGATTTCTCCCCGGGGGTGGGGAGCGGAGACGTAGGACGGAAGGTCCGAACTCCGTGATCATATCTTGTGTTTGAGTATGCTTTGGCGTTTATTTATACTTGTGTTTATATTTCTTGTCGCCATTGTCATTAGCTCATTATTTATATGATCCACTATCTAGCTCATATAGTTTACCCCTTGTGTTTGCATATCCTTGCATATATCATATAGTATACCTCTTTGCTAGGATATATCACTTTGTGTATATTCCATATTCTTGCACATAACTCTTTGTATATCTATCTTGCAAGAATATATTTATTAATTAGTTTTAATTGGCATAAAATCAGATTAGATTAGCATAAGACCCTAATCACCCCCGCGGTGAGGGGAGAGATGAGGCGAGCAGAGGAAGAGAGGAGTGGGGCTTGGAAGAGAGGAATGGGTCCCCCAAGTGGGGAGCCATGTTCTGCAGAACCGGAAGAACCGCCTCAGCGGCGCCTCTGCAACCTAGTTAGAAGTTATGTGCTCCAATTCCCAGACTACTACAACCTAGTAGAAGTTAGGTGCTCCAATTCCCAGACTATAGCTTTTGTATTGAATTTTGAAAAAAGGTTAATGAGCTTGTAACCAACCAAATGTCCTTTTATATGTTTTGAACGGATTTATTAAAAACATACTTAAAGAGAATTATTACATCATCGATAAGTTAATGACTACAGAAATGCTACCTAAATATTAAACATAAACTCTCTAATCCAGCTTTTCTAATAAAAAACTGACAGTTTAAGACTTCTGGTAAGCATTAATTTTTTGTTTCAACATGTACATCAACAATTACTAAATACTAATCTTCGCTCTCTGCATGCACATGAAATAACAATTAAATAATAATATTACCTCTCTCCATGCACGTCAAATCAATTATTGCATATAAAAAGAGATCTAAACGGATTGCATATGTATGAAAGAAATGCCAGCATCAGTTGTGCATTTGGTCTACAGAACCAATTGCGACAAAAAAACCCACTAAACTGATTCAACTGAAAGCAGGATACGGAATGAATATTGCATGCTAAATACCTGATAAATTCGGAACTCTTTCTTTTAATTTCGACAAAATTTCGGCAGACTCCGGATGTCTTCTAACTATGGTATGTGTTAGCTAATTCTAAGAAGTAAAGAGATGATCATCAGTGTTTTTTATATTAAGTAACACGAGAACCAACTGTTTGTATTGACTATTGAATCATGAGGAAAAAACATCATCTTCACTATCAAACCATTTCCCAAACTCTTTTAAGTTGAGAAGACAACTGTTAAGGTCCAAGGATTGGCGGAGCCAATAATGTCAACCCTCTTTGGCTATTCAAGTTTCTAAAAAGGCAGTTACAAGAGTAGCTATAAACCCTGGATAGCCAGTTAGCAGGTAAGAAAATCTAATCAGTTACCCAATTTTAAGCTCGTAAGGTCAAGGTTTCCAGATTATAGAATTAGAGGTCAAGTCTCCTCTTCCTCTTCCTTGACACCAAAAATAATATATGAACAAAATTAATTCAGTCTTTTCTAAACAATTCAAGAAAAAAGGAACTAACATGGAGGCTAATTGGAGAAAATAAAACAATTATCAACTTCTTTTAAATAATGAGAAATAATACTAGTATACCCAATTGGAAAAAAGTACATAGTGAGACAAACTATGTTATGTGGCAAAAATATTCTTTCAGATATGAGAAATAACACACTTAATTTAGTTTCTCGTAATTTGTGCCCGTGTTATGTAGCAATAAACCAAAATTAAGTAAAGGCTCACTATTTGGCATCCTACAAGGGCATACCTGTGAAATAGTGGCACTCAGACTGATCAGTAGTGGTCCTGATACTCGCCAACAACGAGCAAGTCGAATTTAGTAGCAACAGAAAGAGTGTTGGGAATCCATGAAGCACCATACCGCGAGAGGATGCTATCATTTACAGCAAACCATCTATGATTACACATTTGTGATAGTGGTTACAACTATATATATAAGAATTCTGTCAATTTGTACCTTGGCCTGATAACAGATTCTTCAAATGCAAAATGACGGATTGTGGGAAACACTGAAGACATAAAGTTGAAGTTTGGATGGCAAATTTTTGAGAAAGGACACCAAGAGGCGTGGAATAGCACAGCCACGTATTCTTCCCTATTTTTGTACACGAGATTTAATGCCCTCTGCAGCGCCATTTCATCCCCCTTAAGAAGTTAGAAAAAACAAAGGCCAATCAGTGGGCAAGCATGCTCAACTCCTAGCATCAGATTTCCCAAGAGCACAAACAAAACAAATAACAAATATCAATGGCTTACTGAACTTGGCAAAACAAACCAAACATCTGATAATGCTAACAAGGGCATCACTATAATACTGAGCATAATAAAACTAAGGTATATGATTATGTTGAACCAATTTTATTTTCAAGAATCCAATGGAGCCATAGAAAAAAGCAATAAGATTAATCATTCCTGCCTAAGAACAAGAAGGCGCTCACTTTTCTTAGTTACTTGTAGGCGAAAGGACCATTGCATTACAAAACTCTGTTGGGATGCAGAAACTAAGGAACTACACAAGTTAACCAAATAACAATATTAGGGAGCAATTTCCATTTCAGTCCCTTCAAAATTTTTGATTTTTGATAATTTTGGTGGTTATCAAGTTTCAGAAATTTCAATTTCAATTGTGTGTTTGTGTGCGCTTCAGTTTTTTCATTGTATCTATGTGATTTCCAGTGTCCATTCATACACAAAGCCTTGTAGAATGAAAACCAGGTTGATAATTTTAATTACATAAGGAAATTATTTATAAAAAATAGGGATTAGATGCGCGGCATGTGTCATAGTTGATTTCAGATATAGTTCAATTTTAACAAGTTAAATAATTAGAATTCTTAAAGCGCCTTCCACTCCATCAAAACTTCAAAGTTGTGGTAAGGAGGATTATAGTTTTTTTATATACACATGTAGGTTTGGGTTCAAACTAGGGCTATCAACTAAAACTTGTGTTATTTCACGCATGGACACTATTTTGAATTTGCTTTAAATGCACAATCAGTGGGAATTGGACCTAGGTTGCTTTGACAACATCTTAACTCCCTTCCACTAGCCAATGTTACATTAAACGCTGGGCGCTTCTAGGCGTCGGAATTGGCGCCCAGCGCTTAGTCGCCTAGGCGGACGCCTAAGCGGTTTCTGGGTATTTTTTTTATTTTTTATTTTTTATTTTTTTAATTATGATACTTGAAGATAAATATATATATACTCAATCAAAGATGCATAAATACTAAAATACCAATACTATTAACTAAATTGCTTGATTTACCAATTACAATAGCTCTTTGTATGTTTATACTTCTCAACTCAAATTATAAGTTCATCTCAACTCAAATTACAATATGTATTAAATTCATATAAATTTTCAAAAAAGATAGCAATTTTAGTTCCACAATAAATCATGCATACTTAGATACTAAATAGTCAAAATAATAATTAACAAGGCTAGAGCCTAAGATATTTTTTTTATTTTTAATTACAATAATTGATAGTGAATGTCAATGTTACAAAAAGCTTAGATGCCAGACCGGTGTCTAGACGGATTTCTTTCTTCATTTAAGTGGTGGTCGATGAGGTTTTGTTGAAGGTCGGAGGAGGTAGTTGAGGTGTTCATATTTGGAGGTTAATGGAGTTTGGAGGACGTGTAGGTTACAACACATAAAATCACAACCAAGACCTACAGGGTACAATTCACGTAAGCAGACAATGTTCCCCTAAACGCTCGTAAAATTTAGGTGGGCAGCCTAAATACCGCCTAGGCGCTAGGCGCTAGTTAGGCGGCCTACGTACTGCCTAGGCCAAGGCGAACGCCTAAGCGAACTAGGCGGAGGTTTTTAAAAATAGTGCTACTAGCCAAAACTTTGAAGTTATGATGAGGAATGGGGGTCATGATTTTATACTCTAGCAAGGGTACTATGAGGTATTTTGTAAAAGTGGCTATAGTATGCAAGGACACTTTATGACATTCATGTCAAGTAGGGTTTACACCTAGGCTGCACAAATAGCAACTTATTCCCTTCCCCATACTAAAACTTTGAAGTTATGATGAGGTTTTTGGGTCATAATTTTATACTCTAACATGGATATAGGAGATACATGTAAAAATGGCTATTGTAACTTAAACATATAACAAATTTGGTTAACATGGACTGTGATTCCATCCATATTGTGATAGTTGCAAAGTTAAATGGATTAGAAAATTATACCCCCTCTCCCACACACAATCATAAGCTTTTGAGGGACAGATCAAACAATAGTGACTGCAAATCAGTAAGAACAAACGTAAAGAACTACAAAAAAACACAGACACCATGATGTACGCTCAAATGGCTCATCTCTTTCTCTTCCCCATCTCTTCTTTTGTTTCTTTTTTTGCATTTCATCGACACCTGAACTATTTTCTTAGACCAATTTTCCTTTCCCTCCAAGATTCGTCTATGGATTTTTATGATCTTCAATTTTCTTAGGTTTCTAACGGTTTGCATGATTATTATTTTTTACAGTTAAATCATTCAAAAGCGAATGTGTGACAAGAATTAGACCTCCATGAAAACTAGTAGCAAAGAGCCATAACATTTTAGTCTCGAATGCTTATTGCCGATAATGGGAGAAATAGAAAATGACAACAATTTTGGAAAACAATGTTTACTGTTTCCATGATTATATTTCACTGAAGAAGGGTTTATGCAATCATTGATACGCATTTAGCTTCTCAACCATCATATCGAATAAGAGATTAAGTAACAGTTATGTGCTCCCCTTAGGTGAAGAGAATAGTCTCACCCACATGTGATACGTGATAAAATGAATATTTATCATAGAATGATTTCCATGGACTAAATAATTAGTCAAAGCTAGCATTTTTCAGGAAGTAATTATGAAGTTATTGATTCAAGCTGTTACAAATTACATATCAAAGCCTAACAGCAACCATAGATACGTGAAATTAAGTACAAAATGAAAAGGAAAAAAAATTGCTTCCGTGAAGTAAAAGGTAACACTGATTTAGTTCAATCTGGAGCGCTCCTAAACAAGCTAAAAAACAATTCAGCAATCTCCTTCTTAAATCCCGAAAAACAAAAGCTTATATGTTGATAAAAAAAAGAGGAATTTCAGTAAAATATTAAACCGCACCTGGATTACACCAACCGATCTAAATCGGTCACCCGTCGACTCCGGCGCCGGGCACGAATCTCGAGGCGGCGGCAAGATCGAGTCCACTGCCGGAGCCCTAGAGCACTTCTCCGTCTCGCCGGAGATTCCGGCTGCCGACGCGAACAGAACAAGGAGAATCAGGAGAGCGGAACCTCTCCAAACCCTCTCTTCCATCTTTTTGACTTTCAAATAGAGCGTAATCGGAACCCTAACCGTAACCCTAGATCGGGGGCTTCGGAGAGAAGGGGAAGCGAAGGATAGAGGGAGGGCGGCCCCGGCGCATCTTAGAGCCTGTCGCCATTCATGGCGGCCGATCAAAGAGAATGAGAGGTGATTATTTACGACCTCTTCTCTCTCTCTCTCTCTCTTGAAATTAATAAATTATTTCTCCTTTTCTTATTCCAAAGCCGGCGAGAGAGAGAGGGAGGGAGAACGATGGACGATGACGAAGAGGATGGGAGCTCACGTGCCGATCAGTTGACAGGAGGAATCTGGGCCGTTCGTCTAAACTGGGCCCTTGGACGGCCCACCGTTCGTTTTCTACTTTTGGGGTAGGAACGACAAGAGAATTTCAAGCGGGCGTGCTAGACGATGTGACGACCGAACCGCATTACCGCCGTGATCAAGGACGCTTTTACGCGTAGATATTTGGAAGTTTATTACAGAAAACCCCCTGGACTGTGGCGCTTTTGCACTTAACACATTAAACCATCCTAAACTTTGCGGCTTTTGCACTTATTAAACCCATTTGGACACTTTGTTATCCAGCTGGCCATCATCATGTGTCAGTGGTTATTTGAAAAGGACAAATATCTTTCTTTAAAGGGGTTGTTTGGTTCGTTTCATAGATATAAGGAAATCTAATTCCATGTAAAGAAACTCAAGTTTTGAGTTTTCTAAACTTTTCCAAGATATTGATTGTTTTGGTTTGGTTCACATGTAAAAGATGGTGGGAAACCAATGTATTTACTTTTATTGTTTTTTGTTTGCATAAAAAAAAGAAAAACTTTTGTTGATTTGACATTTTTTACTTTTCTTGTATTTGGTTGGTGTTGAAATAGGTAGGAAAAAGTGTTTAAATTTACCATGGTAAGATTATCCTCATTGTAGAAAAACACGAGAAGTTAGAAATAACACTAGGTGAAAGTTAGAACTAATAAGACATTAGCTAGAACTAACACGAGAGCCACTAGAACTAACAGGGGCTCAACTAGAACTAATATACCACTAAAACTAACGCTTATATTAGAAATAACACTAGCTGAAAGTTAGAACTAATAAAACATCAGCTAGATCTAACACGAGAGCCACTAGAACTAATAGGGACTCAACTAGAACTAACATATCACTAGAACTAACGCTTATATTAGAAATAACACTAACTAAAAGTTAGAACTAATATGACATCAGCTAGAACTAACACGAGAGCCACTAGAACTAACAAAGGTTCAACTAGAACTAACATACAACTAGAAGAAAACAATTATATTAGAAATAACACTAGCTAGAAGTTAGAACTAACACGACATCAGCTAGAACTAACACGAAAGCCACTAGAACTAACATGGGCTTAACTAGAACTAACACGAGAGCCACTAGAACTAACAGAGGCTCAACTAGAACTAACATACCACTAGAACTAACGCTTATATTAGAAATAACACTAGCTGGAAGTTAGAACTAATAAAACATCAGCTAGATCTAACACGAGAGCCACTAGAACTAATATGGACTCAACTAGAACTAACATACCACTAGAACTAACGCTTATATTAGAAATAACACTAGCTAGAAGTTAGAACTAACACGACATCAGCTAAAACTAATACGAGAGCCACTATAACTAACAGGGGCTCAACTAGAACTAACATACCACTAGAACTAACGCATATATTAGAAATAATACTAGCTGCGAGTTAGAACTAACACGACATCAGTTAGAACTAATAAGAGAACCACTAGAACTAACAAGGGCTTAACTAGAACTAACATACCACTAGAACTAACGCTTATATTAGAAATAACACTAGCTGAAAGTTAAAACTAATATGACATCAGCTAGAACTAAAACGAGAGCCACTAGAACTAACAGGGGCTCAACTAGAACTAACATACCACTAGTTGAGAACAAACCTGAGCATATATGAATGAGCAGCACCTCTTCCAAAACTGGTCATATGTGCACAAAACCTGGCTGAGAACCAACCTGAACAAAACAGCACCAACAACATCAACCAACAACACAAAACAACACATGAACAATGTGTGCACATAAAATCTATTTTCCAAGAACTCAAACAGCAACATGAGCTCATCATCATCACAAACAGCCACAAAGTCGGCACAAAAACAAAACTGAAAACCAACAAAAACCAGGAAATAATATGTAAAGAAACACCAACCAGCCAATGAACGAGGAAACACCCATCTGCCAATAAACTAGGAAACACCCACCAGCCATCCATGAACACCAACCAACCAACCAAACACCCACCAGCCATCCATGAACCAGACTCAGAATTATATCAGCAATATATTTGAAAAACTGGACTTTTAGAAATTAATTAAAAAATAGCAAATGAGCTCTAAAAAAGGTAAAAGTTTGGGGAAAGTTTTTAAATATGAACACAAACTCTTAAAACGGTAATGTGGCTTAACACACAAAATCTTGAAATGGGTTTTCAATGTGTCAAATACAGATTCAATCTTAGACCTTATTTGTGGGAAAATTTGCAGTAAAAGAAACGAAGGAAAATTAATCTGTATTCATTTAATCTCAATTACAATTGGATTTTCTGATTACAAAAGAGAGGAGAATTAATCTGGATTCTCCCCTTTGTTTAATTCTGGGTTCTTCACAGTGGCGATGAAGTGCCTCCCTCGAATGATCGCGTCGAATTTACTCTCCGTTGACGATCCGAACGTCTTGATTCACTGGAACGTGGTCTTCTCCTCACGATTTGACGTTGTGGAGAACTCTGAACGAGTTTGAAACTCTATGAAAGAGTTGATTTAACCGAAATCGGTCTATAAGCCAAGGATGAAAAAAACTCCTGTTGCTGATCTCCAAAGCTCCAGCAATTCCCCCCCAAAGATCTCTTCTTTGTTGCCCAAGAGAAGGATGAAAGATCCAGCCCCCTAAAATCCAGGATATGAACTAAGCTGTTTTCTTAGTTATTTATAGGGGATTAAGGGGTGTAACCGCCCCCTTAATTCGCTCATAAGTGGGGCTAATGGGATGTAACCGCTGTTAGCCTTCTTGTTTTGATGATGATTTACAAATAATTTACTACTAATGTTGTTTGTCTAGTGTTTGTGCATTCCTATATATTGTAGACAAACAACGTTGTTGGAGGATGGATGGAATAGAGCTTCAACGATCATATCCAAAGGAGGTTGGCGGAATGTCGGTGAAGCCTTGCAATTCAAGTTAAAGGATCAAGTTCAAGCTTCATCCGCGAGATTACAAAGTAGAGCTTATTGAAGACCAATCAAGCTTGGGTAATTTAGTTTAGGATTTATATTATGTGTGTTAGATACTCTAAGCTCAATATAATATACACACACATTTTATTGGTTTCTTCATATATATATATATATATATATATAGTTATATATACATAAGTTTTGGTTTCTATGCATATATATAGTTATATATATACATACATGTGTTTTGAGTTTTTATGATTATATATATGAAATTATATATTTCATATTTTCTATCGTGTTTTTGAAAACATTGCATAGAATACGCAATTTTATAAAAATACTGTATTCTTAATGTATCCGTTGGCTTCCAACGGCTATTTTTCTGAGCTCGTTGCTGGGGCTGTTTTTGTCTTTTGACTTGGGATTTTCAGCTGAGGTTTTGGAGGATATAAATACTCTATTTGATCTCAGTTTTCAACCTAGAAAAAGAAAGTTTTTAACAAGGGTTTTAAAAAGGGTTTAAGCTTGTTTAAGGGTTTGGTTTAAAGCTGTTTTGATTTTCACAAGTGGAGGAGATTATCTTCTTGTTTGGGCTTCAATCTCCATCTCTCCATCTTGTTATTCAGAGAAGAATCTATAAACTCATTTCTAGCTATTTATTATTTTGTTTATAATTTCTATATGCTAGATTTTAATTGAGTTTAGTTTTGATTTTGATTTCACTCATTGTTTACACACACCCACTTGAGCTTATTGTATTTGCATTCATAATATATTAGGGTTGTGAGAGTTGTAACATTGAGTGTGGGCTTTTATTGTGTTCTCATCCATATTAGAGAACAATTTATATTTGTTACATTGTGAGATTGTTAGGTTTTCGGTGAGCTAGAAACCGAGTGTGTTGTGAAGTTTTCGGTGAACTAGAAAACCGATTGTGAGGAGTGACGTTGATCGGTGAGCGTTGAAAACCGATACTGTGAGGTGTAAACGTTATTCGGGTGAACGTAGAAAACCCGGTTGTGATAGTGGATTTCTCCCCGGGAGTGGGGAGCGGAGACGTAGGACGGAAGGTCCGAACTCCGTGATCATATCGTGTGTTTGTGATTGCATTGGCGTTCTTATTCTTGTTTTCATATCTTATATCGCCTTTGTGTATTGCTCATCATATTACCCTATCACTTGTGTAGATTGTTTATTTTACCCTTGTGTTGTTTATATATCCTTGCATATATACATATTCATCATATAGGATATATCTCTTTGTTGTTCATATTACTTATCCTAGCTCATATACATTGTTGTATTTCATACTTGCTAGGATAACTTGTTAATAAGTTTTAATTGGCATTTAAATCGGATTAGATTAGCATAAGACCCTAATCACCCCCCCTCTAGGGTCTAACAATTGGTATCAGAGCTTGGTGCTCTTTGATTTAAGGTCTAATCGCCTTGAGTTAAAGATCCAAGTTATCTTTTTTGCTTATATTATACCCACTTCGGAAAAATCCAAGTGGAGTAGCAATGATAAAAGAATGTTTAATATGAACAAGCTTTTGTTAGAATATTTGCTTAATACCTTTGACTCATCCTTTTCTAACAAATTTGTTCATTTTTATAGTGCTTACAGTTTATGGAATTTCATAGAAGCACATCAAGGCAACTTGGAGGAAATCTAACATAGTTTGGAGGATTATTCTTCAAGTGAGTGTGGAGCATCATCATGCACATGACCACTAGGAGATAGCCCTAGTGTGGTAAGCGATTCGGAATCCGATAGTGATATATCCATCAATGAACTCGCTTGTGCATATGATAGATTAATGCATGTCTATACTAAGTTGCATAATAATTTTATAGATTTGAAAAGCAAGCATGTTAATTTGAAATCCGATCATGAGTTGCTAGGTTCCAAATTTGATATCATTGCAAAAGAAAATATTGTGCTTAAAGAAAACAATGACTTATTAAATTTAGAAAATGAAAAATTAATCTCATCAATTGCTAGCCTATCTCATGCTAAGATTGATGCCATGTTAGAAGTAGAGAACATAAAGAATG